AACGTTGCACAGGAAAAATGGATTTGTTTCTCGAGTATTAAATTCTGTATTATGATTAACTTTCTGACTATGGATAATGTTACGAATATGCTACTTATTCCTTCCTTTTGATTTGCAACTTTGTATTGGAAAAGACAGATAAAACAACAATTTTTGTATTGATAATTTGTGAAATAGAGTAAACTTAGAGTAAACTTTGCCAATTGTCCATCTCATTATTCACAAATTTTAATTCATTGTATTTTCAGATAGATTCGAATTAGAATTATAATATTAATAAATATTTAATGGATATTCCGTTAATTTTTTAAGAGATTAGCAATAACATTAGAATAATTTTGAATTGAAACACTTATAAGACAATTCTATTGAATCTCTATTCGTCGTAAAAATCATGACATATTGTGTGATGTATTCTAAAAACAAATCTTAAAATATATTTAACTAGAGTACTCGTTTCCAACTTATTCAGAACAACTGAATGAATATTTCAATCATCGAATCAAGACAATATTCATCCGAATACCAATTTAAGTCTCAGCCAAATGAGCAATTTTGTTTTTCTTCTCAGATATCCTTTCGTTCACTCTGTTCATCTATTCATCCATAAATCTTCCAATCGTTCGAAGAAAAGTTGTTAAAATTTTCCAGAGTGATTTTCTCTTCTCTTTTCCCTTCTCTTTTCATTAAAATTTCAATCGAATGAATTCGTGCCGCGGTTAGAATCCAAAAAAGCCGGAGACGGTTGGCGACCATAGCCGAAGTTAAATATAGTATCCAGCCGGGTTCGAGGCTGTTGGTGCTCTGCCAGAAATCTCGAAGGGAACTCTCGCTTTTTCTTCGGCGAGTCCACAGTATCTATGTCTACCAGAGAGTGTGTACCGTGTTTCTACCAGAATTTTTTGAGTTAATTTCTCATAATCGGTAAAATACGAGTTTGTAGTGTTCGCTGTTAGTGTTCTCTCTTCTCTCTTGTGTTGCGCGAGATCTAAGGAAGGGATAAGTGTATAATCAGCGGATAGAAACATGGCCATCACGAGGGAGGAACGTGAGTAAATGCTGAAACGAATCTGAATCAATTCGATGGCAGGTATATGCTGGTTGTGAACATTGACAGACTGCCAGTTTAACTTTGCTGCGCAGACGCAGTTACGTCAGAGATTTAGAGAGGGAATTTTTGGAAATGTTAATGATTTTTTCTAGTGTCTAAAACTAGGCTAAGATTGGTTATGGTATAGAGATATTCTTAAGATGTAATCTTCAAGATATTATTAAAGATTCTTTTTTTTTTTTAAAAATAAATAATGATAACAAAAGAGATTTTTTATTTGGTTAGAAATTGATTAAAAGTTTTTTAAAAAAACTTAATCAATTATTTTTATTATAAGTTAAGATTTTGATAGATTTTGAATAGATTATAATAAAATTAGATAATAATATTCCGAAAATATTAATAATAATTATTTAATTATTTAAAAAATAAATTGCTGTTAATTGTAGAAATTTTTTGATCGATAAGTGTGATTTTCTAAAGATTACTATGAATAATCAGAAAAATTTCTTAGAGATTTTTTACTCCTCCAAAGATTGGAGCATTGCACTGTTTTCTTTGAAACAGTTGTTACTTTTAGAGCTTGGATGTGATCCAATTCGCCAAAAAAATCGAATTTTTTGTTAAATTTTATTGTGAAAATCATTTCTGATTCAAAAATTTTTTCTTTTATTTCTCATTTCTCATCATTCTATTGTTGCAATGCGACAATTTTATCTAAAACTGAAAATAAGAATATTTTTTTTTATATATATTTAATAATTATATTTAATAATTTTTTCTATCGAAAAAAAATCATTCTATTGTTATTTAAAAAGATGTTTTTTTAGTATTGATATAAATTTTATTTAAATATTAGATTTTATTTGGAATTATCAACAATCAATAGGAAATTGGTACTAAAATCTCATTATTAGAACTATCAAAACTATTTAAACAGATTTTATATCTTTTGTTTTTGTAATTAAAAGATTTTTATTTACAAAATTAATAATTTTTATTTAAATATTCATTATAATAATGTATATATTTAAAAAAATTGCAAATTGGATATTTTAATTTTAAGATAAATGTCACAAATCATTACATATTATTCTGAAAATTTATTTCTATTTTATATTATTAAAATAGAGTGCAAAAAAACAATAACTTTCTAGAATAGTTAGCTAATTAATAGTTATTCTAAATAATTAAAGAAGCTTAATGTGTAACATGATAATAAAGAGAAAATTGTAATTTAGGATCTTTATAGTATATAATTTCTTATGGAAGAAAAGAAATAATGAAAGGTCAATAAAGGGTGAATTCGTCAAGGATAGAATACCAATTGGCAGGTGTATTTCTGAGAATAGTAAAAGGGATAGAGGCAATGGCCGACACTGCGACGCCGGGCGTCGTACTACCGGAGACAACTTATTGATTTTCTACCATCAAACCGCGCCCGACCGTTTCCCTTTATCCTCTTCGTTCGACACGTGATGCTCATAGACGATGTATCTCTATCTTTTATGCTCTAATAAACTCTTCTTCATATTTGAATCTGCTCCAACTCTTGACTCTGATTGAATCTCTTTAATAGTTTGATCCATTTGAAGATGTAAACAATTAAGTGAATTAAATCAACTTTAATATTTTGTATATTATTTGATTTTTAGAAAGTATCATATAGTAATTGTTTGATAAATGTTATATTCAGGTAGATCTTTTGGAATTATAGTGTGGTATTTTTAATAAGTTATTGAAGAAATATTTAAGTTGAAATAAAATATTAAAAAAAAATAAAAAAAGAAATATAAATTAATCGGCAATGAGGCTTTAACTTTAAAAACCTTGTAAATTTTTTACCAAAAAATAATTGATAATTATTTTATTAAAATTCAACCTAAACATTTATTTTTAGTACATTCTTTAATCGTTAACAAGATATTAAATTTTACAATTTTAAATAATATTTTATTTTAAATATAATAAATATAATATATAACATTTTTATATTTGATGAATATTTTAATGCATTTATTCTTTAATATTATTCAATAAAAAACCGTCAGTTGACAAGAGCAATAACTTGAGTATAATATAATAAATGTTTAGAATATATTGAAATTTTAAGATTCATACAACAGAACTTGCACATATACTTCTATGGCGTATCATATAATTTTCCATACAGTCTTCTACTTGACATATTAGTCATCGATTCTTTATCCTCACTTTGAGGACTTTGCTTTCAAAAGAGAAATGATAAAATATGATGATTATTTATTTGTATATTAATGATGACGAATTAATCTTATAAAATATTAAATTATAAAATAGTAAAATTGACAATATTGAAAGTTTTATAATGCTAAATAATTTTAATAAATAGTTTTAAGAAATACTTGAAATAATTTACATTTATCAAGAAATATAAAAAATATAATATATATATATATATATATATTATCAATATTTTAATACAAAATAATATATATCAATATTTTAAATGAGTAAGTATTTCATACAATGAGACGTTGAATCTTTCTTTTTTTTATATCACTTTAATTTTTTTTATGAATTTAAATGATATAAAATTATTCAACTTTCAATGAAATAGAATTCGATTAAAAATTGGGACAAATGACATAAATTCGTTTGGCAGAATTGTACGATGTTGAGTAGGCCTTGGAAACAATTTAATAGAACATCCTTTTTGGATTAGAGACAAAGCCGCAGCAAAATTTGAGAATTTCTATTATTAGGTTCATTCAAGGCTATCCACAATTAGTCGCATCAATCATTATTTCTCAAATATTTAATTAGAGTATAATTAGTTTTATTACCTAAATTTTTGAATTTTTCCATTCATTATGCATTAATTCTTAATAATTTTAGATATATATATACATTATAAAATTATAAATTTATAATATATTTTTTAATTTTTAATTATAAACTGTAGAATATAATAAAAATTTTATTATTAATAATGTAATCATGAAAAATATAAGATATGTTCAAGAAAAAAATAAAACAATACAATACTAAATATCGAATATTACACAAATTAAATTAATTAGTTATTTAAAAAAATCATTAAATCATATTATATTTATATATAAATAGTAGAAAATTTTTTTTTTTTCATTGTAATGCTTATTTTATTTTTCCAGTTGTTCTACTGATTCTTTTTTTTTTCTTTTATTCCATTTTATTGGTTTCTATTTCCCTCTCCCACTTTACTCATTCTCGTATATCACATATCTCTTTAATATTACTAAGATATGTAGAGTTCCATGCGCGAACGAAACCGTGGAAAGAGGTGGCAGTTCTTGCTTAGCTTTCCATGCTTTCAATTTCTTTTATAACGTAGCCTCTTCTCTCGTTAGTTGAAAATGGTGCGAAGAAATAATTCAAGAACACCTGTCGAGGAGTTACCCGATAGAAATAGCGGTGAGTTTATCTCTCTTCTTTGAAAGAGATTGATATCTGATTATTTTCATTAACATATGGTTCAGGAGCACGTGTCTGTAGAAAAATATCAGGATAAAAAGATTTATTTTGTATTAAATGATATTTGAAATTTTCGGAATTTTTATAACTATTATAAAATTATTAGGATTTTTATCATTTTGATCAATATCTTAAATGATATATCATTGAACTTGTCTCAACATTTTAATTGGATTTTGTTGATTTTAGTTGGAAATAAATTATATCTAAATATGGAGTTTATATTTTTAAGATAATTTTATCAAATATTACCCTGTATATGTATATAATATTTTATACAATCTATGGAAATTATTCTGAATATTGAAATAAGAATATTATTTCATTGTTATTGCTTCGACTACTTGTACTATTTGTAAATTAATAGGAGTTTGAAAAGTGTATAGATTACATAATAAAAGTATGGTAATAGTAAGTTTGAAGTTTCTAATAGTGATGTATTTTTCTATTTTAGTGGCAGCTTTAATTTATTGGCGTGATCCAAAGAAATCAGGCCCCGTGTTCGGCTGCATACTTGGCGTGCTCCTCTCGTTGGCCTACTTCAGTCTGATAAGCGTTCTTGCTTATTTGTCTCTTCTTATCCTCACTGGTACCATTGCTTTTAGGATTCACAATACCATTCTTCAAGCTATTCAGAAGACTTCCGATGGACATCCTTTCCAGCAAGTATCATATTTTTGAAAAGATAAAAGTTAATAAAAAAATAAATTTTTTATTTTATACAAATTTGAAATATATAATATTTTTTCTTTATCTTTTTTTTATAAAAAAATAATGTATTTAAATCGTTTCACATTTTATTTTAGAGAAAAAAAATTAAAAAAAAAAATTAGAAATGAAGTAAAATATTAACATTTATAATTTTAGAAATATTTTGGAAATGGACTTAACATTGCCTGCGGAGAAGGTGCATGAAGTAGCAGATGTGGCTGTCGCACATTTAAATGCAGCAGTTTGTGAACTTCGTAGGCTCTTTCTTGTCGAAGATTTTGTCGATTCTTTGAAATTTGGTGTCCTTCTTTGGTGCCTCACCTATGTGGGTTCTTGGTTTAATGGCATGACTCTAATTATAATTGGTAAATTTTATTATTATCATTATCTGTATATGTTTTAAATAATTTTCAATATTTTATAATATAATAATTATATTTTATAAAAAGTTAAATATATAATTTTCCACTGAATATTTATAGATAAAATAATTTTGAGCGAAATATTCTGTTTTTTTTTTTTTTTTTTGCTTCTATAAACAAAAAAATCATATATTCGTTTACAAATATTTATAAGAATGATAACTCAACGAAATATTCAATATAACAAAAAACAAAATTTATAATTAAACAACATATTTATGCCATTATATAATTATTTAAATAAAAATGAGTTTTGAAAAATGATATGATTATATTCGATTTAATCATTATTTTTTACAGGAGTAATCGCCTTATTTACATTACCGAAGGTCTATGAGACAAATAAATCACAAATAGATCAGAATTTAGCATTGGTACAAAGCAAGATCAATGAGCTCACTGCTAAGTAAGTATATTTCAATAAATAATAAATATCAATATTTCACAATAAAAATAATAAAAGTTTTGTGTCTATAAAACGTTGAATTGTTCTTATCAAATGAATTTTTAATATTTAATCTTATTAAAATAATACAAAATTTATTAGAATATTTCTCATTAAATAAAGTAGGATATGATATGATATTGTATTATATACATTGTAAATTTTCCTATTTGAAAAATGGCATATATTTTATTTGTAGTCAGCAATTTATTGTATAAAATATATAAATATAGTTTCGTGATAAATATTGATTGATAAATTAAATCTTTTTTATGTAATTAGTAATTAATGCATTGATAATAAATGTTCGTCGATATAAAATATATTAAAATAATATCTTAAATCAGTTTCAATGAAGTGGAGATTTAATTCTTTTAAGTATATTTATGTAAGTTTACATAAATCATACATATATACATATACATCATACATATATAGATAAATTAGAAGATGTATTTTATATGTATTTGTCATTGAAAAAAAAAATAAAAATATTTTGAAGTGAATTTAGATTAGTGAATTAGAAGTGATTTTAGATTTTCTAAGAACTTGTATTTTAATTGTTTTAGAGTGAAAGCTGCGATACCATTTGGCAAGAAAGAACCAAAAAAAGAAGAATAAATATGAAAGTTTACCACCACGCGGGAACAAAAGAAATTTAAGCGAATTTGCCGGATACTTGCAAAATCCACGCAAGAATGAAAAAAAGAACAGTTATACAAAAGAATGGAAATGATTATAAAAAAAAAAATTTAAAAAAGATAAAAAACAAAACATATAGAGTTTAAAGAAATGATGAGAAAGAAATATTTACAAGAAAATGCAGAATAGATAAAATGAACAGCAAAATGAAATGTTATACCAATGTTGAAAAAAAGAACGCTGAAAAAACCTATTAATTTATAATAATATTATGATATTATATGATATAATATAATATTATAATATGTATATATTTTATTATATTATAATATTATGATATATATTATATAATATATTATAACATATATTATAAATGATTCACGGAAATAAAAGATGTTTTTAGCGTTGTAAGGTTTAAAAACAGGATAATTTTTTTTAATTCTGAAATTCCTATGTACCGAAATAAAAAATGGTAAAAAAAAAGTAGTTACAATAGAAGCATGGCTTGCAAAGAAAATGTAATGAACAAGCATTGAATATATGTATATGAAAAAAAAGAAAGAAGAAAAAATAGTTATATAAAATGAGAAGTATTTCTGAAAGTATAAGAAGATTGAAATGTGAATAGGGTAACGGCTTCTAAAGAAAGGAAAACGAGAAAAGATCACAAGGTAATATAAAGGGAAAAAAACTCGACAATTGGATTTTAATGTCTGATGATGTCGTAAAACGAGTATTCCTTTTTTGGATTTACAAACTGTCCCTATTAATCGAAATAAACGGAAAGAAATAACATTTAGCGATTATATTAATTTGCGATAAGGGAGACGAATAGAACCCTTTGGTGTACTCTGCAAAAATCATGAACGGTGCAATGCGTGTATCTAAGGGTTTTCCGATTTTCCTTCTATTTTTTGTTTTTTCCTCGCACTTTCCCATACCATTCCGAACTGATATTTCTTGTTTACAAAATGATATGCGGTCCCATTAAAATTAATTTTAATTAATTGTTTATTTTTCAGTAAATTTTTTTCATTATATATAATTATTGAAAAATATATTTAGCACAAAGATACATTTTTTTTTCTCCTAATCTTTAATTTTTTGCTTTGAAATTTATATTTTCTTATTTTTCTTTCTTTTTCATTTATTCAAAACACTATGAAAAATTCAATTTTTTATTCTTAAAAATTTTTTATAATTAAAATCAGATATGTAAATAGAATTAAAATAATTTGTTTTATAATACATTGCTTTATTTCTCTCTTTTAGAAATTTCAAATTTGCATTCATATTCTTTAAGCTTGAGTTTTATAATAAAATTGTAATGTAAGATTTTTTAATTTATAATATTATATAAAATATGCACACATTGAACGTGTGACAATAATAGATTACATTAAAATTATATTAAAATGTTAAGAATGAAATAATATAAGTAGTTTAAAGATAAATGGAAATTCTTTTTGTTTTCAATAAATTTTATTTATTTTGAAAAATTTAAATAATTTCGTTAAAGGAAACTGATTTAAAATTTATATTAATATTTTTTTTTAACAAAAATTTCTATAATGATATTTATTATTCTATAATATTTCCATTATTTTTTTTTAGTATAAAAATTTAGATCAGTTTCCTAGATTTTTATACACTTATATATAGTTACATTTTTTCAGTTTATATAAGTCCATATTCTCTTTATCTATTTGTAGTTTTGTTCCATTAATAAAATTTGTTAATTTTATAATTACCAATTATCAATTTTTATCATTTTTCAATGATGATTGGTATTTTCAACAATTTTTTATTTATAATATGTATAATATTTGTTTAATATTTGTACAAAACATGTTTAAATTTATTACTTAAAATATATGGTTATATTTATGGTTATATTATATCAAAATAAGATATATCAAAAAATTAAATTTATATAATTGTAAATATAAATCATGAATTTTTATTGTTTCAGCAAATATCTCTTAGTTTTTACTACTTTTAAAATTTCATTTAAAAAAAATAAGCAACGAAAAAAATAGTTATTAAAAATAACAATTAATTATAATCTTTAAAAATATTAATAAATATGCATAAATTTTGCTTTATGCATAACTAATTGACATAAAATCAATTCTTCATAAAGAAAGAAAATGCACATATGATTCTATGCATGTGAAAAAGAAGGAAAAAAAAATGAAAGAATAAAAAAAGACGAAATTTGTTATTTGTTTTTAAAAATATTGTTATGAGTATTGTGCGTTTTAAATTATTTTTTAAATAACGCTATATATAATGTATTAATATTATTTAATTAAAAATTAAATTATAAATTTATTTATTTTATATATATTATAATTTTATTAATTAAAATTGATTTTTAATATATGTATCTAAAATTTTAAGATTTTATTTATATAAAATTTATACATAGAAATTTACATACGGTTCAATTAAATTTTATTGAGGATTAAAAATCAATTAATTTATATCAGATTTAAAAAATTATAATTTGAAAAATAAATTTTTATTTCTTTAAAATAATATTTTAAGAAATTTGTTTCAGCCTACATGATTGATTAGTAAATAATTATAAGTCTTTAGTGGAATATATATATGCTTGATAAAAAATTACTTTTGAAAAAAAGCTTAATTGTTGTATAATATAGATTACAAATAATGTATTAACATAATATTTTCATTGTCAATTTGAATCTTATGAATAGATTTATTTTCATATTTGATAATATTAAATATCTTGAAGATATAAATCTTTATGGCAGCAATACGATTTTAATCTATAAAAAATAAAAAAAATTAATTTTTTGGAAATCATAAATGGGCCCGCATATCAAATTATTCTGTAATATCGCTCATTACATAATTATTCTTAAAAAAAGAAAATAGTTGAACATGCGCGTGCGTGTATTTGTATCTGTGCGTATGTATGTTGTGTATATGAGAATAAAAAAAGTAGCGCCGTTTCCTCTTCGGCGTTTTCGAAGATTTTTTCTTCGAGTAATATAATTATCGCTATCATATTATTAAGTGTAACAATATCGTTAAACATTACAATGGAAAGTTGTTGGCTGAATTGCGAATTTTTATTATATGGTTCGAAACAAAATTGCGGATACCTGAAATTTTATTCATATTTTTTTAAATCGTATTGCATCATTGATCAATGTATCGAACTATAAAAATTCATACATATAATTCCTTACGATGAATACGATTTAATAAAATATCGATGAAATTTGATTGAGTATCATTACATTTTCAAATATGACGTCTCTAAAAAAGACGATTATAATGGGAAAGGAATGCGAAAAAAATAGATAGAAACGGAAGAAGAAGAATCTTTTTCAGAATGCAAATTGTAATACGCGTATCGCTTATTGACGTTTTCATTATTGCATCTGCATCCGCACGATTAATTTATAAATAAATTATATTAAACAAGACACTGAATCACGAAATATGCTTTCTTTATATCCTTTAAGATATTTAAAACAAATCGAAATATTATTTTATTTAAAATAGTAATTAGATATATATAGTAAATTATAATTTAAAAGAAAAATAGAATACTTATATTAAAATTATTTATATATTGTTAATTAAAAATGGTAATGAAGAGGTAAACCAATATCAAAAAATCACCATAGATGGCGGAAAAGTGTTTAATTTTTCAAAACCCGATCGGTATAATCGTTACAGATCACGTGACAGATAAGACTTTTAATGCGCCTGCGTGACCTTCATACAAGGTGACCGCTTCGAAGATTGCCAGAGATAGGCATGTTATTCGTCTCTGGATAGCACAAGCGTGTGGATCTTCGGAGCACCGGTATTTGTGCATGTGTCGTGAAAACCGGTCATTGTGTCTGACAATTTTCAGAATTAATAATAAAAATATTATATTATATATAGAATATTATTATCTGTGAATGAATAATTCTATAATTTAATTCAAAATATACAATTACGAATTTAATACAGGAATTTTTACAAATAAAAGAAAAATTCATAAAAATAATAGAAATTTGAATTAAATTTAAAGTATTAGAATTGTTGATTTTGTGTAAAAGCAAAATAACAAAAATTGAAAACAAAATAGTTTTATATCGATAAGCACTGTATTTTAAGAAAAAAAAATAATTAAAAAGAAATGTCAGCTTCAGTAACAGATCAAGAAAAAAGGAAACAGATATCTGTTCGCGGGATTGTTGATGTGGAAAATGTAGGAAATTTCAAGAAAACTTTCAATAGACATCTTCATTATACCCTTGTGAAGGATCGTAATGTGGCTACGAGCAGAGATTATTTCTTCGCCTTGGCACACAGCGTCAAGGACAATTTAGTTTCTAGATGGATACGCACTCAGCAATACTATTACGAGAAAGATCCAAAAGTATGCCATTATATTTTTATCTATCTTTATGTATTTAATTTATATATTATATGAAATATTTTATGCATGTAAATTATGATTATAATAATTAACAGTGTCAGTTTCATATAATTCATTTAATAATTACCGGTAAGTATAATTTTCATACTTACCTTATATTCATTGCAATTGTTATTTATTTATTTATGTATAATATTTAAAGAATCAATGAACGAAATTTTATTCTGCATTTTAATAGAATTCACTTTCTAAATTATCTTTTTTTAAATATTTTTTTAATTATTTTAAAATTATTAATTTATTACTTTTTGTTCATATTATCTTTAAATTAATTATATTTAAATAATTGATAATTTTAAAATAAAAATGCAAAAGTAGATAGAAAAGTAGAAATTTCCACTTATTTTTATTATCAATTAATTTAAGTAAATTAGCTCATATTTATCAATGAAAACTTATCTTCTAAACTTATCTTTGTGAAGTAAAACATTGTATGATATTAAATTAAAACAAATAAACAAATAGAAAATAAATATTTGGTCGTAATAAAAATATATTCATTATTAGATAACGAAGTTTTTAAGTAAAATAAAATTAAGTAAAACATTATTTGATAATCAAATATAATTAATATCAAATATAATTAAGTAAAATATTAT